ACCGTCACCGCCAGGTGAGAGAGAGGAGACTTAGGGGACTGAGTTGCGTGTGGAGGGTGGAACTGGAGGAGTAAATGAAGGGCCGAAATCTTATTAGGTGGAGGAAGAGGACACGTGTCGGATCTTGTTACCGGCAGTGGGAGCAACCGACAGCCTATTAAGTTCTTCGCCACCGGCAACTGGCGGTTTCATTTTCCTTCCCAGAACGTCTATGGTAAAAAAATAGAAAAATGCCTAAACCGGATGAGGATTCCGTGGATATCTCCGTTGATTTTTCTAAGCGGCGTGGGAGAATATTGGTAAAGTAAATCAATTGTGATTTCATTTTATACCTTTAAGGTAAAATAATAATAAATTTTAAAATGACTTTATAAAGTAGCCTAAAAAACAAAGAAGACGGAATAAAGAAATTTTAAGATCCTTTCTCTTTTCATTTGCTTACTATAATTTCATAATTTATAGCTCGGTAACTATTTTCGCTTTTCTTTTTTTGAAAAGAAGAAAATAGTTTTATAAAATTTATTTGTTGGTTTAAATTTGGTTAAAAGTTCTGTTTTTTTCCTACAAAATAGGAGAGAGAGTCATATTGGCTAGAGGGATAAGTCCATCTACCATCTTCGAAAGTAAACATTTATTTAAAAAACATAATTTTTAAAGACAAAAACAGGAATGAAGTAACTATACTTTTAACTCTAGAGTAATAATATTCTTTTTATAGGTTTTTTTTTTCCTTTTGAAATAGAATTTCAGGTTAAAACACACTTTTTGTCTATGCAACGATTTGGCCCCTGTATTTTTAAATAGGTAACAATTTAGTCCAGAAAATTTAGCACGTAACAATTTTATCCTCGAAGTTTAAAGTTTGTAGAGATTTAGTCCTTATTGTAAATTTTTTTTTTTGTTAAATTTCATATATGTAGATCGATGAACCGATGAATTATAAAATTTATTTATAAATTACAAAAATCAAATCATTATATATGATAAAAATTGACACTTAATTTGGATGAAAATTTTTGTGGTAGGGATTAGACTGTTATAGAGACTAAATTGTTATATATTAAAGTTTGAAGACAAAATTATTTCCAATATAAGAGTATAGAGACTAAATCGAGACTAAATTGTTTCTTCAATAAAAATATAGGACCAAATGTATTTTTTAATCGTGAATCTTTGTTGTAGATTGAAAGTTTAAATTTGCATCTGTCACGCTTATAATACTCTATTTTCAAAATATATATCACAACAATTTTTTTTTTCATCAATATATCACAACAAGTAAGACATTATTTTTCAAAAAAAAAAACAATTTTAGCATTAATCAGTAATGTTCTCTCTCCCTGGCTAACCAACCTATATTACACGACTTTATGTTTTGAGATCGACTCGAAGTTTCATGAACTTAAAAAACTTAAGTTTAAATTGCGTGAGAAAATTAGTTATTCGTTGAGATTACCTAGGTTTGTGTTAGAGTGGGTGATTTTAATTTGTAAAATTAACATAGTAGAATGCGTAATAAAATAGTTTATGAAATTTGTGCTTTGATTAAAAAATAAATAAATTGTAGAAATCTAGATTTGTTACTAATATTTTTTAGTTTGTATATATATTAAAAATCAATAGGAAGTCAAAAGGAAAAAAAAAGAATATTCAACCGACACAATGTATATTTTATTTAAACAGAAATTACGAAATTCAACGCGCAAAATTGTAAATTTCGAAAAAAGCAATAAAAGATAACATCATAAATGCACATCATTGCGGGTAAAAGTAAGTATATAAATAAATAAAATTTACCAAAAACAGTACGGCCTCGAAATAAATCGAAGAAAAATAATTACAGACAATAATGAAGTGTATTAGGAAACATAAATAATTAAAAATAATTTTCAATAAATGCAGAGGGAAATACGCATCGCAAGTAATGGAAGGAAACTGTTGCCGCGCGCAGGCGCAGCTGGATGAAATCTAGGGAAAATGTTGAGTCGGGATGACGTAAGAGTGCCACGTGGATGACAGCAAGACGGAAAGAGAAAATAAAATAAAAATTGAAATATTAGGGACGCGGACGTCAAGTGGAGTACTCAATGGAGTGAGGTGGAGAGTTGGCGTCCGGAGGGATAGCTGTATCGATTGCGAAAGGGAAGGTGGGCGGTGATTCTCCTCTTCTTCCCTACCAAACTCGTGTCGTACGATAATCATCAGCTCGTTTCGTAGTTGAAAGAGAATTCTTTTTAACTCTTTGACTAATCACCGACACATTTTTTTAATATTCTTTTTACTTCCAACTTACGTCATTTGTCGCAAGAAAATGTCAAAAATATAATTTTGTAATTTATTTTTTTGTCTGTTTTTGTAGATCAAGGGGTTGGGATTCAATTCAATCCTCCACTTTTTTGTTCAATCCTACTCCAAATTTCATTGCACAAAATATTTTTAGTTTTAGACTCGTTAAAACGGGTACGAAATATTCTAAGTTCAATCATGGCCGAACAAGATACATGAAGTCTTTTGATTTTGGACTCATTAAAATTTGTACGATTTTCTGGTCGAAGATACCTGTTTTGATTAGTTGAGCTACATGCAAGTTTGATCGTAATATTAAATATCTCGAGTAGAAGAATGTCCTTTTTTTTTTCTTTTTGATACCAAGGTTGGAAAAAGTAATAGTTTGTGTAATTGGAGTTCGAATTCGAATGGCACCTATTTAAAGAATTTGAATTGCTATCCTCTATAAGAAATTCATGTGATTTTTTTTCAATAGATTGAATTTATATCTAATTTAGGAACTTTTTTAGTATAACAAATTTTGGGAGGGAGGATTCAATAACCTCTAGCAATTTAATTTTAATTAGTCATTATTTGTTATTTACTTTATACTATATATAAAAAGAACGATAAAGGAGAACATTATTGCCTTTTCTTTGTAATTTTTTTTCGTAATTATTTTAATTTCAATGAATTAAATAAATTGTTAATTTTTTAAACATTTGAAATCGCATTACATAATAGAAAATTTTATGTATACTATAGATGAACACTTGTACTTCTTGCCATAGGTTTAAATCTACAACGTCTATTTGAAACGTGTAGTATTTTTTTATTAATCTAAAAAAGTAACCTTGGTTGTAACTGTTAATTAAATATGTTACGATTGCAATGGTAAAATAATGAATGAAACTGAGAGTATCCAGTTGTAATGGTAAGCAAAAAAGGCAGCATAATAAAGACGTAAAATAATGACATTTCTTTTAACGTAGTTTAATTTTCCAACCTATTATATGAGGTCCTGTATTAGGCAATACAATTATTGAATCAAATGTCAGTATACAATTTGATGGACAGTTTCTCTTCGATTCACTCGTCTGCATACATATCGTCACTGAAAGGATCCACTTTCGGCGATGACACTTTTGGCGACGACTTCTACATATCGTCACCGAAAATTTCTGACGATTTCATGAAAGCTAATTTCGTCGTCGAAAGTTAGGTACTTTCAACGACGAAATCTACTTTCGTCGTCAAAAGCGCCAACTTTGGGAGACGAAAGTTAATTTCATCTCTGAAAGTAGCCTCTTTCAGCGACGAAATCATGTTTGATCATCGAAACAGGCACTTCGGCTACGAAAGTAGATTTCGTCGCCGAAAGTTGGCACTTTCAGAAATGAAATCTATTTTCATCGTCGAAAGCCTATTTCAACAACGAAATGCATTTCGTCGCCAAACATCTCATATTACAAAACAACACTACACAATGAATAATTCGGACCTACTACACTACACAAAGACACAAATAATTAATATTGTCTTATAATAAATAAAAAGGGAGAAAAAACTCACTTACCAAATCAGATATATCTTTACTTTACTCCAAGATCATCCCCGAAAGATACGAGACTATATAAGAGACTATATAAGAAGAAAGGCAAAATTCAATTAACCCAATAAGGACCACAAGAGCCATCATCATATGTACCCTTTTGTACACTTTCTTTTTGTTATTATTTTTTTTAGTACATGTTGACACATGTGGTGGTAAGGATTCAGATTCACGACATTTTGATCTACTTGATCAGAGATAGATGCTTTTAACTAGTTGAATTATACTTTTTGTTATTAATATTAAAATTGTCTACATTACCAATTAAGTGATTAGGACATTATTATAGTCTGTGATTTAAATCACGAGGTTGTGAGTTTGAATCTCCTCCCAACACGTTGTACTAAAAAAAGTAATTTTTAATTTGATGGATTGTTATAAAAAAATGATAAAATTACAAATTTGATCTTTATAATTTAAGTATAGTTTCAATTTAGTTTCGATACTCTTAAAAATTTCAATTCAATCTTGCGATTTCATAATTTCAATTAAGTATTATAATTTAGTTAAACTTCAACCATCCTTTTTAAACTATCTTTCACCTCAGAAATCCACATCTCCTTATTTTAATTTTGGATTTTTGGTTTTCTACGACTAACTTTACTTGGCAACCAATTATTTTTCTGTTTGAATAATTTATAAAACGCTATGAAAATCATAAAGAAAGAGAAAAATAATAAAAGACGTTTTTCAGTTTTTTCGTTTTCCAAAGACCTGTTTGGCTGTTTACACCTCTTTATGTGGCGGTGGAGAAACTTGCGCTCCAATTCTCGGATCCACGTTACACGTAACTTTTTTTTTCCCATATATATATATATATAAATGAATTAAAATATTATTTTAATTAATTTTAGCCCTAATAGTTGTAAAATAATTCTTTTCATACATATACTTTCAATTTTAGTTCATTTTAATTTATATATTTTTAAACGGTTTTGGTTCATGTACTTTAAGAAGTAACAATTTTTTTTAATTTTCAAATTTTTTATACAAATTCTATATCTAATGTAAACGATTTAATATAAGTTAAAGTTACATTTTAATAAATATATTAAGGGTAGTGTCGTGTTTTTTTTTTGTCTTTAAGAAATAGAAAACTAAAAATTAATTATCAAATATGTTTGGTTTTTGTAAAATAAAAAATAATTATCAAACATGTATCTTTTAGTTTTAACAAACTAAAATAAAAAATTAAAATTAAGTAGCTATCAAATGAGGCCATTTGTTATTACTTTTATATGATATACATTAAATGAGGAATATTACTAAACTGCCTATAAAGTTCCAACTCAAATAAGGGAAAAGAACTGCTCTTTACACAATAATAATAAATAGCCACTTTTAACAAAGAATCATCCATCGTCTTGCTACCACGAATTATCAATTATGCACAATCTTAAATAGAAGTTAATCAAAACCATTCTACTAAAGCAATGGAACAACCTAATCCAATACCAAAAAAAAAAAAGGTCTCTATCCTATCTAAACTCAATATCAAATAATAAGAATCGAAATATATAGCGACACAACTATATGATCTTCTCCATTCAAGTTTTCTCCATGTCATCACAATAATCATCTAACTTATTGATACTTGCAAAATCTATAGGGGAAGGGACGTGAGTATATCTGTTGTGCCTCTACCTTGATAGATAAAAGGATGCATGCAAGCGCTTACGAAGTATAAAGAGAAAATAAGTTTTCCAAGTTTGTATCCACATCGACTTCTATTTAAAATGATTGTGAAAAGCTTTTGTTTGGAATCAGTTTCCTTGGTCACAAAAGGATAGGCTGGTGTGGTGTTTTGGTTTTAAAACGAATAGACTATCAATTAAAAAATGTTGGGTAAATGTATGCTGTATATATAAATTGAATAACACTGGCAAATAGATTACAATGTAACTGGCTACAAAGAATATAGATTCCGACAGCTTGATTAACACCAAAACTTGATAAATACAGTCGAGGCACGCTTCAATAGCGTTGGCCTGAAGACAATTATTCATTTTGCACAAGTTGCTAGCAGATTACAACGATTGTCTTAGCATGATACAACGACTAACCCCAGTAGAACAACAACTTTGAACTACTCGACCGGGTAGAACTTTTAGATACTTGCTCTCAACACAAATAAGAACAATACTCCGAGAAAAAGAGAGAATTATTCTTGTGCGAAGAGGAGGAACTCAAATGAGGAAGCTTGATATCTCAAATGAAGAAAACCACAACTATATATAGTTGTTCAAACATGTAATATCTCACACAAAATTAAACACATATATAACTTTAACACATAAATGTAAAAAACTCCTCACTTAAGAAATAACTTAAGTTTCACATATATGTATTTTTAACACATAAAGTTACAAACGTGTAACTTTGCAACTTTAAGATAAAAAAAAAACAAAAGCGACAAATGAATTAAAGAATTTGTTACGTAATTAAATTCACTACAACCAAAGTTCTCCTCTTATCACAGACCAATGTTGGCTGCGAGCTTAGGCTAACTACCACACATATGTCTATGAGAAGTTAGTACCTAAAGAACGCTAACCAACTCTTTATTTTTCGGGTAAGACATCTTATGTTTAGGCTATTGTTTTATGTGTTTATGTCTAATCTATATTCTCACACCTCGAAAGCTACCTAAAACTTAGCATCAATTTAGTTCGCCACACGTTTCAAAACTGTACAAACCTTGTTATTTACCTTTTTATGGTTACTACAATTTGGATAAAACAAGTTCACCACACATTTCAATTTTTCTCAAATCAAGGGAGAGAATTAAAAATTATTATAAGAAAAAAAGACCTTAAAACAATAAACCGATTCACTATATCGAACAAAACACAAGATAAATAAACTATTGAGAGAAGAAAAAAAATGATAGATCAAGACATTAGGAGAATGTAGAGTTGAAGCTGATGCAATGATAATTGATAAGAGCTAGAAAAAAAAAAAGAATAATTTCTACTGCTTCTTTAAGAGCAAAGGACCAACATTATCTCCAGTTGCCTTGTTGTGCTTAACATGACTTCCATCACACAGAGGAAAAGTGGCTGACCTCCAACATCTACACATCAAAAAATTATTACAAATTCAATCTCTAACATAATCAACAAAATATGGATAGCAAAACAAATTTAGCTAGAAAATATTTTAATAAAAAAGATTAAATTACTTTATAATTTTGCTAAAATGGGGGGGAATAAATGATAGAAATCTCAATATTACTTGAATCTAAAAGTGAAATTAAAGGTAAATGGGGAAATGGAACCTGCAATAGGCAGTGAGGGGCTTGGCAAGGTCAGAAAGAAGAACAGAGTCGACGACTTTGTCCTCGCTCTTCCTGATGGCCGGGTTTATGGGTTCAGCGCCGGCTTCTGCTCGGACGACGGCCAGTCGCCTCCGCCCTCCGCCGCGGCTGCTCCGGCTCGAGTACAAGTTCCGGTGAGCAGCGTGTGTTGATGATATTGATGCCACAGAACCAGCAATGGTCACAATAATCGACGCCATACCTGTGCTTCAGATCTCTCTCTGTGCGTGTGTTTGTGTGTGCGAGTGGGTGAGGAACGTGTGGAGGGCACGGTTTTAAAGCGGCCTAATCCAAATTGGTGGATCCCCTGCCCTAATTAATATTACCTTTTTTTTTATTACTTTTTGGAGAACATATCCATTTTTAACTCTTATCATTTTCGACTCCTATCAAATTTCAACCTCAAGTTTCAATTTTAATTTCGATAATACTTGGCTCCCCGACAATGAGGAAGAATCTTGAATATAGTTCAATTATTGTTGACTTATGTTCGATTTGATAAAATAAAATTTAGGATAAAGATAAAATGGTTAGTTTTAAAAGCTTCTAGATTATATATTCTTGGAGGCATCGAATGACTCTTGAGTTTATAAGGTGATTACAAACAAAGTCTTATATTGATTATGGAAGAAAATGATCATGGGTATATGAGAGATGATAATTATCTCCATTGATATGAAGCTAAAAGCAAAGCCGTGTGGGCCATGCCCAAAGCGGACAATATCAACTATATTTATTATACCTAAAACTGATTGTTCCCTCAATCGATTATGGATCTTTTAAAAAAAAAACTGATCTATATGGAGACGAACTCGATAAATTTCCTTGAACCCTCTTATTTATTAAGATAGAAGCGCAATAATAACATTGTAAACTGTTTAGACGTATAATGTATTATTTAACATTATAAAACATACGGCAATATATATACCTAAAATATACTCCAAATACATCTTAACATATATATTTTTCATACTAATACCCTCATTATAACAGATCAGAATCCAACCGAGCAAGTTCTTTTCCATTCTAAAATCCAACAGAAAATCAAGAAAACCAACTCTATACACCAAATGGGATAACTAGAACAGTAATATCAACTAGCACAGCAGCAGTGGTTTCTAATTTCAAGATACACCACCATACCAAAATTGTTTCTCAAGAGGCAAAATTATAAAGGATCACAACAACACTAGAGAATGTTGTCATCACTCATCACTCACTAACTTTCACTAACTTCGTCAATGTCTGTCTTTCAATCTCTCAGTATGATCTCACCACATCAAGCTCCATTTTCGTCCCCTTCACCGTCACCGTCATCATCTCCATTTTCGTAAT